CCCCTCCTTCCTGGCGTCTCCAGGAAGGAGCCCCGCGCCCGGCTCTCCCGCCGCGGTTTGACAGCCGGGAAGCGTACGGACGCCGCGGGCTCGGCCTTCGCAGTTCCCGGGTCCAACTTGGCGCCAGCAGGTCTCACCCCCGGGGCCGGTGCTGATTGGCCAGCTGACTGGACCTCCTCCGCCCTATTGGACGATGCGCAGCCAGCTCCCGCCCTCTTCCCTTTTTGATTGGCTCGGACGTTTCCCGGGTTCCCGGGGTGAGGAGGAGCCGACAGCGCGCGGAGAGGCCCTGTCGCGGTAATTGGGCCGGGTCCTAAGCGCCAGTGCGCCTGCGCACAACTTTCTCTTTCCTCCTTGAAGGGGAGAGCTGGGGTTTTAGAGCGGGCCGCCAACCCACCCGCCTCGCGCATGCGTCGTCCGGGGCGGAGCCCAGGCCCGGAGCTAGGTGTTGGGGGCGTGGCTAAAGGGCGGGCTCTCGCGCTGGGAAAGGGGCGTTCGAGAAGGGTCAGTTGGGGGCGGGAAGGGTCTGAGAAGGGGTGCTAGGGTGGGTGGAAGGGTGCATTAGGGAAGAGAGGTGCAGGAGTCGGGTAAAGGACCAGATGAGGTGGTCATCACGGCCTTAGGGCCCAGGGTCCAGGGGGAGAGCCAGGGGTGTGTGCGGGAGCGCACAGGGATGGGCGCGAGCCAGTGGGGGACCGGAAAGATGCAAGCCTAGGCCGGGAGGGGACATGAATCTGGGTCTGGGTGACAAGTAGATGAATCCAAGTGCGTAGGGTAGGGGAGGGAAGACGCTATAGGATGCCAGGAGATCAGCGCATCGGGAATGGAAACTGGGGGGAACTTAGAAATTGAGGCAGGTGACAGAGTCAGATGACATCAGGAGGCTGGCTTCCTACCCCGGGCTCTAGGCTGCCTGGATCCCCAGGGTTCCTAGGGAAGTGGCTTGACGCCACATGCGGGCACATTCTTCTGGGCCAGGCCTTGGATCCTGGAATCATGGCTTGGTGGTGCCTAGATGGGCTTCCCCACGGTTCTACCACACCATGGAGAGATCTGTGGAGACTGGGTCCCCTACACTGTGTGGGCGCTCTCTCACCTCCCAGGGACCGTAGACAGTTACAGAGAAAGGTAAAGGCCTCATCTAGAGTCTTCTAAGTTAGGAGCAAGTCCTGAGAAAACACCCCTGGGTCCCTCAGTACGTTTACGTCATGGCTGTTGCCTGGTTCTATCAGTGGTTTGGTTATTCTTCTGACTTTTGGGAAGTAGAAAGAGCTGAGAGTTGGGTGCACCTGTCTGTGATGTAAGGTCTTTGACATTATTATATTATTTCTCTTTGGAAGGTGACCTGAAAATTGAATTGGCGTTTCCTTGTTTCTCCTGTTGTCCAGGGAAACATAGATGGCTGGAGACAGAATCTAGACCCTTTAAATAATGTGGAGATGTTACCACCTTCAGGTCAGTGTGGCTGGTCAAGGGGGCAGGGATAGCCTCTCTGAGAAACTAACCGTCTTGACTCTTGTGATCACAGGTTTTGCTGGGCTGGTTCCCCCCTCTCACTTCCAAACCCGACCCCTTCCAACTCTGCCGAGAATGGCCCCCACCTGGGCTTCAGACATTCCTCTGGTCCAATCCACGGCCCGGCAAGATGTCTTAGAGAGGCGGCTGGACACTCAGAGGCGGCCAGTAGCTGTGTGGGAACTGGATGTCTGTGGAGATGGACAAGGACCAGGGCAGAGAGGCAGGTAGGGATCCACCACCCCCTTTTTCTCAGACTCACTTCTTCACTATAGTGCGTTATTTACTCTCTTGTGGCCCTTGGTTCCGTAACTTGCATTTTTCCGTTGGCAGCTGTTGGTACTTAGAACACATAAACATGGTGGGGCAAGCTTGGTGCCAGCCCTACCTGTCTCAAAATGACTAAGTTGGTACTATGGATGGGGTTAACAAAAGAGGTCCTGACTTAAATTCTCAGCAAGTAAGGATAGGTTGGCTAGCAGCTGTCCTAAAGCCAGATGAAACACGGGTAAGACATAGAGAGAGACCAGTACAATGGTGTCCTGATTCTTTCTCCTGGAGTTGTTAAAAAGGTCCTTGCAGGAATATGCCCTGGAGCTGGCTGTGTTATCTATGAATATATGTGTCTGTTTTTTTTGTTTGTTTGTTTGTTTTTTTGTCTTTTTTATGTAGACCAGGCTGGCCTTGAACTCACAGACATCCGCCTATGTCTGCCTCTTGAGTACTGGGATCAAAGGCCTGCCCAGCGTATGTCTGTGTTTTTTTTATTTGTTTTTATTTTTTATATGTGTATGTTTGGCCTGCATGTATATAAACTGTACCCATGTCATGCAGTGCCCAAGAGACCAGAAGAGGGCATCAGCTCCCCTGGAACTGGAGTTACTGACCTTTGTTAGCCACCATGTGGGTGCTGGGCACAAAACCTGGATTCTCTGTAGGAGCAGTTAGTAAAGTCATCTCTCAGGCCCCTGTGTTTGTGCTTTTTCAAAGGTTTTATTTATTTTTATTTATTTATTATTTTTGGTCTTTTTGAGACAGGGTCTCCCTGTAGC